CATGTTTTAATGAAAAAAAATCATGATTTTCAGTTCTGGGACAGTAAAAATAGATTAGGCCTTAGACAATGTGTGAATGTTATTTTTTTTATATGGAAACTTTAATTAAAATTAAGCAGTCTTGTCATCTAAATACGAATATAACAAACGAAAGAAATTAATAAATGTGACAATTATAGAAGGATTATATGTAAGTATTTGATAACTGACATTCAATTCTATGTACCTTAACTGACAGAATGGAAAACTAGTACAATTGTTGCTTGTAATAAAGAATTTTGAACTAGAGAAAGGCATGAAAGTTATATCGTATATGAAGTAACATTTTCTTTTTCCGAATCACATTTTTACTAGACTAAAACAAATTGCAAAATTTTAAATTTTGCGTACGATTATTTAATTTTTTGCTTACATGAGAGAATAACACATTATTAGCAAAATATTATCGATGTATCATGAGTTTACATGAGAAAAATAGATGAAAAGATTAACATTTATGCACTAATTCTTAATGAATTCAAATAAATGGTAAAGTCTATTCCCAAGAAATTCGTGTGAATCTTTCAAAATTTTAAACTTCTGACTTGTAGATGTTATTGAATAATGAATTAGCATTATCGAAAAAAATTATAAAGTTGATTTTATTTTTAGAATTTCATAAATATATAATGTATATATAATTAAAGTAAATATGTGTGTATATATAACTGGGAAATTTATGGGCTCTATGGGAGCAATGAGTTGTGGGCGCATGCTCCCTTGCCCATGCTCTAGGACCGATCCTCATGATTTTCATCCCTTGAAAATCTTTGTCTCCCAAACCCTCCATTGTTTCATCTTGCTCCGATGAATGCTTCTTGACCAAATAAGTGTTACTGTGATGCCAAAGTAGGCGATGGTGACAGTTATTCATTTAGGTTCGATGTTCGCAAATCGCAAGAAGGGAAGGATCCAGTAATCTGGGCTGGATTGAAATGGAGTAACTATTAAGTTTAAACATTAGCGAGTATACTAAATACAAAAAGAAGTTATGCCAAAAAAATGAAAAAAGAAGAAGTATTTCTTCACCCATATTATTCTTCGGTCGATATTTCCGGTGATTAAAATCACTGAAGAAGCGTCGGGAAATTGGAGATATTATGATTTCCGTGGAAATTAACAAAGGAGACTACTACTATGTGAAAATGGCTAAACATAAGGGAGGGTCCATTCAGATACCCACGGAACCGCATAATTCGAGCCTATTTAAATTTGTTAATATTTTTTCCAATTTTGTAGGGCTCTCAAAGTCAGTGCAGGACGACTCAATCTATCTTCAATACGGGAGCAAGTTAGAAACTGAGGAACTCACCTCTATTTGAAAACTGATTTTAAATTATCAAATCAAGGCTTTAGGCACTGAGAATCAAAATGTTTTCTCTTGTGGAAAGCAATCCCAGTTGCCACCGATCCAGGCGTACTCAGACGCCTCTGATGACTTTGATCATTTAGACGACTCCGTCTTCACAGATGACTTCTTGGGACATGCAACTTAAAGTGATCGTCGTCCTCCTATATCATTCCCGGAAGAAATTAAGAAGTCCAAATTCAACAGGGAAATATGTCGCAAAGCCAATTTCATAACCTCGGATAACTGCCTGCCGACTGACAACCTGAACACGCAGTTGAAAATATGCCGGAAAAATTAGAAGAACAAAAGGCAACATAGCATGAGAACAAGATCTCAATCTAGAGATTTCCCATGGGACTAGATCTGTTTTTAGTTTTTTTCCGTTATGCTTTTCCTTTTTCTTTTTTCGCATTGTACTTTTTTCTTTATCAATAAATCAATAAAACTCCTCTTCTACCCAAAAAAAAGGCGTCGGGAAATTGGATGGAAGGATCACAAATAGTCAAGAAACAATAGTTAAGTACCAAAATTGGTCAAAATTACAAACGTGGAATGAATGTGGAGTTCATATAAAACTCATGAGACCAAAAGTGGAGTTAATTCAATATTATTAATATGAGTAATTAATAGACCGGTAGGTGAATTGAATTGATAGTCATAAGTACAAGGATAATATTTGGAATAAAATTGGCAAGTTTATAAGTTTTTACTATAATTCGAATTCAAATGAATACATATTTAGTTATACATATAATTTGAAATTGCCATAGCTTTGTTAGGAATAAAATTGTCATGTTTTAGTTTAATTATTTCTAAAAATCAATTAGAGTCTTGTACTTTGAAAACACTTATCGGGTATTACGCCCAGCAAGAGGCCAGCCAAAATACTCCATGACCCAACTAGCACAACGCATGAATATTGAATACCCATGCTCAAGATGTGGATCGGACCAGTCATACTATATGTCTCGCACGGGACCCACTCCTCTCCCTAGACGAGATGGACACTTGCAGGAGAGGATCTATGTTAGGGCTATGGTGGGCTGAAGCTCAGCGCAAAGTAAAAAATAATTATTTTTTAAAGGTATTATTTTTAAAAAATTCTATCCTGCCCAGTCAAATTTCTCAACCTAGCCCATAGAACAAAATCTAACCATCTAAAAATCTAATCTAAATGTATATACATCACCTCCCACTTAATAAGTAGCACTTAGTATATACGTATAAGGGCCATAAAACTCATAAGGCATAAATGTAATAAATACAATAAAATATGATTCAATTAAGAGCTTGATTGGCATGTACACAACAACTTGTAGTGCTTGAGTATCTTCAAGTACATTGCCCAAAAGTGAGTTCCCGGACAGAAGTTCTTAGTGTATATAGACACATTCCATGATTTGAATTTGTGTTCAATTTACCTTTGATACACAAAGTTATGGAATAACAAGTATTTTCTGTCAAGACCTTCAAAAAAAATTATTGAATATCTTGCTAGTCATGAGATATGTCAGCACTACACAACTTATTCTCGGGGGATATAATTGACATAAAATGGATGAGAATGTGTTCTTGAAGAAGTAAATGAGTTTTACTCAAAGCACGAAATTCATGTACCTGAGGTGAATTCTAAATATATGGTTGGTCGTTGACAATAAGAAACTACAGTTGAGCATCATTATCACTTTGATATTTTCAATAAGGCAATATATTTTATAATGATGGAGTTAAGGACCTGATTTAATAATAAATCGGTGGAACTCCTTTCTTTGAGTGGTTCATTAGATCCCAAAAATTCATATGTGTCGTTCAATGTCGATACTATTTGTACTCTTGCAAGGAGTTCTATCCCCAAGATTTTAGTAGTCAGGATATTCATGCTTTGGAATTCGAGCCGCAACACTATGTCCATGATGTGATTCATGATACTCCATACAAAGTTTCAAGTGAATTATGTGAGTAGTTGACTATGAGCAGAAGATCTGATTCACATGTTATGATGAACAGAACATTTTTGCCGTGTATTGATCTTACTGTTTCTATTGCAACACTAGAATGATCATTTTTTTGCCATGAAACTTCTAAATAAAGACAACACTTGGCAACAAAATGGATGATAACCTTTTTGCTAATTGCATGATACATTATATTGAAAAACATCTTACTCTTAGTATAGATGTATACCCTATTATTGACGATTTGTTTTTGTTTCAAAGCCTCATCGAGAACAAATTTAGGGGAAAACTCTTATATTTGCTTTTTTGATTATTTTGAATTTTTTAATGTATTACTCTGTATCATTTAAGTGTTTCAGATCACCCCAACATGAAATGCTGGATCCGCCACTGAACACTTGTAACCTTCTTGTCGTGGGATCTGCACCACCAAAGCATTGGCGAAAAATATGGAATTGGTGGGAAGAACATTTGAAGCACTAGATATGAGAGATTTTATTATTAAGGGTCATCCTATCACGGCAAGCCGTCACCCCAACCATCTACCTCGTTGTAGTATAAATGCTTGCATTTAGTGTTGACAAACTTATATTCAATAGTTTAGTTTCTCTTTACTTGTTCTATGGCACTAAGGATGTTGGGATGGCATGGAGAATTCCATATTCAGGTGATGGAAGAAGAAGAAGATGAAGTATGGATTCGGCTGCTCCATCGATTGAATTTTATCTATTTTTGCTATTTTCAGTTCATATAGTGTTTTACTATTTCTATTCTATTATTTTTATGACAAACCACAAGGAAGGTAGGTTGGTGTTTTTGTTTGTTTTAGTTGATAGATCTCTCTAAAGAGGTAATTAGGCTGACTCATCCGCGAAATAGTCTTGAAGCTCTCACATTTTCAGCGATTAGTCTCGCTCTTTTTGGGTGGACTATTCTATGTCTGATTTAGCAGTGAGTGGGGGGCGATGGGCTTTTAGTCATTGTGGGTTAGATGGAGGTCAAAGTTTATGTTAGTTGTTTGGTTTTTTTCATATCAATAGAAGCTTTTTCATGTGAAGAAACATAAAACTCTAAAATATCAAAGTCAAAAGAACATAAAGCCCTAAAATATCCCAGAGCATAAAAGGCTTAGGGATTTAAGTTTGAAAATTATGAGACTCATGTGATGAGCAGGAAAGAGAAATTTAAGTAAATATGTAATTAAAGAGAGTAAATTATTTTTTAAAATAGAATAAAAACATTTAAATGAGACACTTAGAAAAGAAAATTTTGGAACCTTTCGGACGCGGAGAGTAAGGTTCTGTTTGCAACCACTTGTGCTTAAATAAAAGCACTTTTTGGGAAAAAGTGATTAGTAGTAAAACTTGGTAGTGTTTGGTAAAATAAGTGCTTTTTGTGTAATGGAAAAAGTAAAAAGTAGATTCTACATGAAAATCGAGGAAGTAAAAGTTGATAGTGTTTTTAAAATAAGTGCTTTTTTCTTAAAGAAAAGCCAAAATCACTTTTTTAATTGATTGCAAACAAGCCCTAATTATTTACTCTTTTTTGGAATTGTTGTTTGAAGTCATGGGCTTCGGCTGATCAATACTGACCCAATATTGTTTGATTTTCGGCCCAACTATTTTCCCAATCTGCTTATTCAAATGTGTAGAGAATGAATGATGAATAGCTGCCGAAGCTTTGTCTTTTGGAGCAATAAAATGATTTCCGCCAGAGCTATTGCAGCCGGCCCATACCACTTATCTCAGCGATCGCACTCTCCTACTGCCGTCGCCGCCTTACGCCGCCGCTTCTCTGCCGCAACCATCAGAATGTCTTCGGGGCCGATCGTTGAGCACGTGGTGCTCTTCAAGGTTAAGCCGGATGTGGAGCCTTCCAGGGTCAACGAGATGGTAGTCAACCTTAACGGCCTCACATCTCTGCCGCAGGTGCTCCACCTCACCGCCGGTCCTGTGCTCCGCAACCGGTCCGGTTCCTTCGCCTTCACACACATGCTCCATTCTCGGTACGCCTCCAAGTCCGACCTCGCCGACTACTCCGCCCACCCCGATCACATGGCCGTCGTCAAGGCGAATGTGCTTCCTGTCTGCGACGACATCATGGCCGTCGACTGGATCTGCGATGACCTCGCCGGCCCGGTCAAGGTACCTCCCGGTTCAGCCCTGAGAGTCACATTTCTGAAATTGAAGGAGAATTTGGGGGAAACTGAGAAAGGGGAAATACTGTCGGTGACGAAAGGAATTAGGGAGAAGTTTTCGTCGATTGATCAGATGAGCGTGGGGGAGAACTTCTCTCCGGCGAGGGCGAAGGGATTCTCGATTGCTTCGGTTGCTGTGTTTGGTGGGGTGGGAGAATTGGAGGCGTTGGAGTCGCAATCGGCGGCGGAAAAGGAGGAGAAGGATAAGGTTAGGGGGTTTCTGGACGGCGTACTGGTGGTGGATTACGCCGTCCCGGGTTTGCAGTAGGTGGCCGGTCTCTATGGGTAGAACCGTCATTTGAAGTGTTCCGTCTTCTTCTCGTTACTGATTGTTTGTAATGTTCTGATTTTCTCCAAGCAAGAATGGGGTTGAATTGCCCTTTCTCCTATGAAGAATAAAATTTACGTGTTATCCAATATCGATACTCGTTTCAAGAATGAGATATTATGATATCTATGAGCTAGGCTTAATTAAAATTCTACAGTTCTAATTAATCTGATATTGGACTTGTTTGACAATCACTAGTTAGCGGCTAGCGGATTCAATCAATGGATTCTAAATACGGAGTCTACGGATTTGACCTGTGAATTAATTTGGTGGGTTATATAAATATGTTTGGTAATTTAACTGTTTATTTTTAGCGGTTAATACATAAAAAAACAATAAAGGGCATGAGTTTATTTTTAGGGAGTAAGAGACTATATATGTATGACACGAAAACAAGTAGGATATATGAATGAATATAAAATACGGAGTATATGCATTGACAGCATTGTGATAAGGTAGATTCTATGGTATCCATAAGGTACCATACATTTGTTCACATGGATCAATGAGAATGTAGCAGTTGAGTTATTTAAATCTAAATTAAAAATGATAAAGTGATGTGGTTCAATCAAATGGGCAAGAGGTACGGTACCACATTTTTTAGAAAGGTAACGGAGTTGTCACCGATAACAATCAGGCAAAATCAAAGAGTAGGAAACCCAACAAAGCTTTCAAAAAATCTGTAGGTAACTCCATCAATAACAAAAACAATTTAGGGTCTGTTTGCAACAATTTCTGCTTTTAAAAAAGTGCTTTTTTAATGAAATTGGGAGAAGAGATTAAATAAAAGTTGATAGTGTTTGAGAAAAAAATGATTTTGAAAAGTAAAAGTGGGTAGTGTTTGGTAAAATAAGTGCTTTTTGTGTAATAGAAAAAGTAAAAGCACTTTTGACGCGGAAGCCGAGAAAAATAAAAGTTGTGGTGTTTGGGAAAATAAGGGCATGTTTACTAACAGAAATATTTTCCACTTTTCCAGAAAACTGGAAAACTGGAAAACAGAAAACAGGAAACGTGTTTACCAAAGAAATTCCTGGAAAACTGGAGAATTGAAAAAAGAAAAACGTGTTTACCAAATCGTTTTCCAAAACGGAAAAAATGAAACATGTCTCTCTTTTCCTTAATGATTTGGAGAAGTGACTTTTACTAGTTTTCAAATTTGGAAAACGCGGATGCTACAGTGCCTTTGCAATGAATTTGCATACTTACACCTAGTGGTGGGTCCAATCCCGCTCCGATGTCGATTCTATTCTGGTACCTCCATCCTCGTACCTTACCCCTTACCCCTACCCTACCCACCCTACCCCCACCCCCGCGTACCCATTTTTACCTATAATGACCTTACCCCACCCCCCACCACATGCCCCGACCTCGGCCCCACCTCGATCCACCCTACCCTACCGCCACCCCCTACCACCTCGACCCCATCTCGATCCACCCTACCATACTGCCACCCCCCCACCACCCCGACCCACCCTACCCTACCCCCACCCCTCGTATATTACCACTTACCCCTACCTTACCCCTTACCACATGCCTCCTACCTCGGCCCCACCCGGATCCCGGGCCCACCCTACCGCCATCCTATCCCAACTCCCTACCGCCATCCTATCCCAACTCCCTACCGCCATCCTATCCCAACTCCCTACCCCTACCTTACCCCAACCCCAAACCCTACCCACTACCCCCACCCTTACCGCCATCCTACCCCCCTCCACCCCTTCCTTACCCCGGCCCCACCCTACCGCCATCATATCCCAACTCCCTACCCTACCCCTGCCTTACTCCAACCCCAAACCCTACCCACTACCCCCCCCACCCTACCCCTTCCCTACCCCGGCCCCACCCTGGTCCCGACCCCACCCTACCGCCATCCTATCCCAACACCCCACCCTACCCCTACCCACTACCCCACCCTTAACCCTAACCACAACCCTAACCCACCCACTACCCTCACCCAACCCCCTACCCCTAGACCTTACCGCCCCACCCTGACCATACCCCTTACCCCACCCACACCCATAACTTCCCTACCCCGACCCCTACGAGTAGGTATGGGTGGGTATGAAGGGTTGTGGTGGAGTATGGGTAGCGTGTAAGATCGTGGTAAGAGTAGAGGTAGGGGTCAAGGGTGTGGAATTGGAGAACTGTGTGAAAAAATTGATGAACATGTTTTCAAATTTGAAAATGGAAAATTAAAAAATAGAAACAGAAAATTGGAGATAGAAAAACTGAAAAACAAAAACAGAAAATTGGAGAACGAAAAACAGAAGTAGAAAACAGAAAAATATATTTGTTAGTAAACAGGCCCAAAGTGTTTTTTTAAAGCCAAAAGTTGAGAAGTGTTTTTTTAAAAGCGGTTGCAAACCAACCCTTAAAAGAAGAAGAAAACTATATATGCGGCAACAGTAAAAAAACAAATAAAGAAGAGGGAGCATGGACAAAAGAATTAAAGAAATGACCGAAACAGCTGAAGAATACGTACCTGGATAGTTTTCTTTAGAGGTGAAAGGGTAAACTAGACGATTAATTATTTATTTGGATCCGCCGGCTGCAAAGTGCAAATGATACACTCTGCAACGTTTCTCGTTTTGGCGTTTTAGACCAAAACGTTATACTAACCCGCCAACTGCCAAACACCTAATTTTAGTGTTCTGACTGATTGAAAATGCCAATTTCGGTCAAACCAACAAATTTTTGGCTGAAACGCCATTAACCAAGCATGGCCATTATGAAAATAGATATAATATCGACATGCTTAACTGATAAACAAAGAAAGAAGAAAATTTGAAGATATTTTTTTGAAAGGAATGGACTTAAATTGATAACACATCATTCAGATAGTAATTAAATCGACAAAAAGATTTCTGACAACTGTCGACCCTCGAACCAGACTCATAGTTTATCACCTCGACAGAAGCAATATAACTCGTTGATCCATTAATGGGCGCAACTGAGCCAAAGACGGTTACCGCAATCCTTCCATCACCCTCATCCAAATCCATAGTCTTACAGCAGTGAAAATAAAGAGTCAAAAAAAAAACACAACAAAGCCGGTTGTCAAGAAAAATAAAAACGTACACATAAAAATCCTGCCCCAGCTTCCTGATCAACACGAGCCTCCATGTTACCAACACTGACCTCAACTTGATCAGCTTCGGCGGGCTTAATTACATCTCTAAGCACGCCCCCTCCCCGTTTTTTGCCCCATCCAGCGCCATATTATCCCCCACGTGCTTTTCCTCTACTTGGGCTTCCCAAAAGCAGGTTGTCACGAAAAATAAAAACGTAAACATAAAAATCCTGCCCCAGCTTCCTGATCAACACGAGCTTCCATGTTACCAACACTGGCCTCAACTTGATCAGCTTCGGCGGGCTTAATTACATCTCTAAGCACGCCCCCTCCCCGTTTTTGCCACATCCAGCGCCATATAATCCCCCACGTGCTTTTCCGGCCTCTACTTGGGCTTCCCAAATACGCCTTCGTTTCTGTTCTCCAGATACCTCCTCATTGTTTTCAACATCCGCACCTTTAGTTGTGCTAAGCGTCGTTTCTGAAGTACATTCCTTCCGCCCCCTCCCATCCTACCATCCGACCTTTTGTCCTCCTTATTCTAGCGATCCCGGCTCGAGCTTGAAGACCCATCCACCAGCCACTTGTTTCCTTCTGTCAAACTTGTGACACCGCACCCGAACGTCCTTGAAAATTCAACTTTAAAATTCAAAGTATATGTATTGAATTTCCGATTTCCAAACAATTGTAAAACGATTAATGTTTTACGTAGTGCATGATTGAATATTGTACTGTTCAAACTCGTATATTAGTGTCGGGTTTTGGGCCTTATTAATGAACATAAGAGCCCAACATTACCTAAATAATGTTACATAACCTTTCAAGACAAGTTGAGGAAGGTCGGGCGGACCAACATTATTTTGGACCCAACCAGCTAAAAATAGCAAGTATTCGAGAATGGCGTCCTAGGCCCACTCGGGGGTGACCCACACGGCTAGTAGTCCAATAATATGAATGACAAATGTCAAAATAAATGATAGAATGAGTAGAGAAGAATACAAATGCCTATGGTCCCATCTTTGACATTATTGAGCTAAATAATGGGAGTAGGATTTTTCCTTCTATAATATTCATCATGTAAATTATTGGGATGATCCTACACATATTGGGGATCAATATTATGATGTATGAAGTTGACTTGGCCTACATAAATTATAATGAGTACAAAAAGACATCTCATGACAAAGATAAAACAATAGGATCCACATTTTCATTTTGGAAGTATTGGTAGGTATTTTGGACCCCAAATTGAATGGGATCATTTGGGAACCATTCCACATGACCTTGGTACCTGCAAGACAAAGAAAAATGGGTGAGACAACTATGTGGGGCGGACATTTTGACTTAAGAACTACAACATTACAAAAAGGAAATAAAAGAGGAGGTCCACACCATGTTTGATTGCAATCAAACATCCTACCCTTCTTTTTTGTGAACCACATGCTCTCTTAGCATGATTGAGGCCTCCTACACACTCCCCCCTACACCCCATTCGAACCCCAAATAGATAAGAGAGCAAAAAGGATCCACACAACTCAAGAGAGAAGGAAGGAAGAGAGCAGTCCGCAGGTTCGTTCTTCTGTACGTAGTGCTGCTTGTTATTCATAACTTGAGTTTCACTTGTCCAAATAAGGCGTATAAGATACCAAAAGAAAGCTATCAAGACGAGGAATCCGTGAATGTCTAGTTTGCATCAATCGGAGTAGTTAAAGGATTCCAAATCGTCCGAGAAAAACACAACCTCGCAGAAACGGATTTACTCTTCTAAAATGAGTTTTAACCCCAAAACCTTTCCTTTCATTTTCCAAATGATATGAACGATTTGTGGGACTATTATACTCTACTTCAAGTGTATAATATGTCCTGATAAAGTTATTTTATGTGTTTAAAGGTTAGATACTAACCTAGAGCAAATCTTGGAAAAACTAGGAAACGAGTTCGCCGGAAAACACCCATTCTAGGGGCTGTTTTCGTATCGACGTTTAGGGCTTGAGCTAGCACTTTGAGGAGGCTGTTTAACACTCATATTTAAGCAAGGAATAAGTTCTTAATCCACCTTGACCGAAGCTTTGACCATTGGATCAAGAAGG